GGGGTGGGGAGGATGGGGGGTAGTTTATTTTTACGCAAATAGAACCAGAGTGTTTGCATTCATGTTTCTAATATTATTACGAATACATTGTAAGAATATATATTAATTTGTCAAAGGCTATGTAACACGTAAAAAATGAAAGGAAATGTTAATTCCCTTCCAACGAATAATATGTTGTTACTCTCAAACCATGCAACAACATATTATTACAATACCATACAATAACCTACTGTGCTACCAGAACGTACCGTGGCTGAGGCACCAGCCCAGAAGCTCTCACTGGCCTCCAGTGGGCAGTCTGACCACTCCGGACACGCGGTATAATTCACTCCAGGCTTTGTCAACTGGCCACACCAGACGAGCGAGTTGACCAGGTAGCCAATGATCGTGTCTTCCAGAGTGACGTAGTTGTGTCCGGCCTCGGCAAATCTGTGAGACAGCGTGTACACGCCGGACCAGAACATCACCTGTTGATGACGTCATTTCAGAACTCGGTCATTCATCCAGTGCCAGATCTGAGGCAGACATCAGCGATCATGGTTCTCCATTCATCTCTTTGCTCGGATGCTCTTTAAAAAGTTCCGTTTCCCTGATCTTTCCCCGTTACCCATTTGTTTAAGTACCTTAAGTAGGTTGCTCTGGGCCTGCACCTGCCTTGTCTGCCTTCAATTTTGCCATTGAGAGCTAAATGTTCAAGACCTTTATATTTATTCACGTTTCCCAATAACTGCATTTGTCGTTTCCTGATTGTTTTTGACAGTGAGCGTCCCATGTGGGCTTCATCAAGAACTACCTCATTTGATTTCTTTTCCTTCCACGATAATCCATTCTCCCAACTAAAGCACCAACCAAGAATACTTTTTTTTAAGTGTCAGGTCTGAAAGAAACAGCAGCTCAACGATCCTGGCATGCAACTCATTTCTCTGTTCGAATGTTCTAAAACAATCGATATTTTATTATTATCGTGGTCTTCTTCCAATAGCAATCCGCTCAATTTTTAAAAAAAAAAATTTTTTGTTGAGTTTTTGTCGGTCAAGCTCAGCTGCTATCTCTTAGTCTTTTATTTTCTTAATTTTTTAAAAAATGGTTCAAAAGCAACTAAGCAGTAACGGGTGAACGGAACAGAAACGTACGTGAGTTCCATTCCTACACGAGGAGGTTTTATTCATTGAGAATGTCCTTGTATCTGCATGTGGCCTGCACCCCTCTTAACCTGGGTTAAGTGGCCTTGAAAAGCAAGGTCCAAGCAGACGACTCCTAAATGATCTAAATTATGCTAATAATAATAATAATAATAATAATAATAATAATAATAATAATAATAATAATAATAATAATAATTGCATTTATATAGCACATATCCATGCTCAAGAGCTTGCTCTATGCGCTTTACAACTACCATTACCCCAGCAGACCCTCTGAAAACACTCAAAAACATTCTCAGCTTCCGCAGAAGCATACAGTGCAAGCTGCGGATTTCACGTGCTCAAACACTATCAAACTGACAAGATCCTTCACTGTCTACAGCTGGGTACCCATTCCCACCTGGGTGAAGTGAGGAAAATTTGTGCAAAGTGCCTTTCCCAGGGACACAACGACGGGCCCCTGACGGGATTCGAACCCAAGATCTTACGGTTGCGAGTCCGGGAGCCTAACCACTAGGCCACCGACGCCAGCCTAAAAAAATCTACCATTATATAACACACTCTACCAAAGCCTTATCTTCGTATTCGGGAATGTCAGTGATGTTACTGAATTCAGAATGTAGGGGGTAGGGGTAAGGTTAGGGCGAAGGAATTAGAGGGAATACTACCATGTCCTAAAGGAGAGAAAAATGGTATCGGAGGGGCTTTCTTCTTTGTTCTTGTTCTTCTTTAAACCCTCTTGTCCAGAAAAGTTAAGGAACAGAAAAACTAGTGTTTACCTTGTCCTCGGGCAGGTTTTGGTCTGCGAGTGCGTAAAAGGAGTCGTAGTTAGCTTTTTGGACATCGCACGGTGAGCTGAAGGAGAACGCATCGAAGAACTTGTCCCACAGCTCGTTACAACCGGCGTCAACCCTAGATGGATGGAGTTCCAGTCCCGTTACAATGATGAACTCTTGAGTACAATAATTTAGTCTAAATTTGTTGTGGTTTTTTTGGGGGGCGTGTAGACGTATGTATGAGCACATGTAGGTGTGTGTGTGTGTGTGTGTGTGTGTGCGTGTGTGCATGTGTGTGTGTTTGTGTGTGCGTTTATGTTAGTGTTTGTGTATGTGTGTGTTTATGTATGTGTGTGTGTACGTGTGTATGTGTGTGCTTATGTGTATACATGTGTGTGTGTGTGCTTGTGTGTATACGTGTGTGTGTGTGTGTGTGTGTTTGTGTGTGTGTGTGTGTGCGCGAGCAAAATAATTAAGCGAAAAACAGTGTACGTATGTGTGTGTGTGATTGTCTGTGCTTGTATGTATGTATGTGTGTGTATGTGTGCGAGCGAGATATTGAGAGAGAAATGAATGCAAGTATGTGTGTGTGTGTTTATTTCTAATGACGTTGGCTCAGCTCTCAGTAGACCCAGATTATTCCCTCACAGAAAACTGTAGGTTCAAACTTCGAATTAAAAATTATATGCTGACAATTCCCGACTGTTGTCCTTTATAGCAGTGTTTGCCTGCCTGAGTGATATCTCCAAATAGCGAGCAATTTGGTAGTTTTAGTAGGTGTGGGGATCACCAGGGTAATGGCAGACTTTATTTGATGCCTTTCCAATATTTTCAGCACTTGGAACTACAAGCAGGTGGGCGGCACTTAAATGATAACGCTCTCTTTATTAAAGTGGAAAAGGTGAGCAATGTGCACTTTAAAAAGTTGACAAGCTTTTCTCTTTTAAGTTAAAGAAGACGCCCAACTTTTACCCTCAGCCCATACTGGAAATAAAAAAGACAAACGAATCACCAAGGGGCGGTGCAAGGAAAATATTATAGGCTTGGGGTATATCTTGTCGAATATAATATACAACGCTTATTGTAAAGGTAAATTATTATATTTCCAAATTTATGACAATGATGTCAAAATCAAATCTTTCACCTGGGCAGAATGTTGTTGTACTTGGTGACGTCATAGTCCCAGCATCGTCCAGTGAACACCGATTGAATGTTCTCTGTTGTGCCTTGGTGGGTCTTGGGTTCCCTCTGTGACGTCACGCATGATGTCATCAGTAGAGTAGCCAATAGGGCAACAAGAGCCATCATCTAGAGGGGGAGAGTACGGAATAGAGAGGTTAGCTCAGAATTCGTTGCCATGGGTTACCGTAACATTATTATGCATATTTCAAAAGGTAAGAATGGAATAGTACCTTTGTGAATATATATTAGTATATTATACACACACGCGTGTATACATATGTGTGTGTGTGTGTGCGTGTGTGTGTGTGTGTGAGTGTATGTGTGAGAGAGTGTGTGTGTGTATGTGTGTGTGTGTGTGTGTGTGTGTGTGTGTGTGTGTGTGTGTGTGTGTGTGTGTGTGTGCGTCTGTGCATGCGTATTAATTCCGCCATAACAAAAATCAGCTATCTTGTTATCACAACACCAAAGCCAAGACCAAGAATTTCTCAAATTGGGCATCAATTTCTCAAAGAAACATCAATTTCTTTTATTGGGAGTTGCACTTTTACAGAGCTCCGGAAGCTAACGCAACTTACAATAACTAAAAAAAAAAAAAGAAAGAAAAAATTAGTAAATAAATATGAGGGTGGGGGTGGAGGTGGTCATTTTAATATTTGAAATAAAACGTTTCTGAATGAAAACTGACACAAAGTATTAGATGATGTACTCTGTTTTGCAGTTGGCCTCGAGAGAGTCACTAGTCTCTTCTCACACAATCTCTGTCATGAGCATAATTAAATATGAAAGGCCCCGTTGTTGGGTAGTGTAGATTCAAAACGTCGACTCACAATATTGAAAACTTTAAAAATTATGAATTACCGAATAGTACAATGGCGTACAATTGGAAAGAGTTCCTATATTTATTATTTTTCGGATGGTAAAATGACGTATAACTGGAAAGAGTCATCAATCATCAATGCCTTTCATCCCTGGCAGGGTATAGGCCACATACAAGCTCCTTCCATTTATCTCTGTCCTGAGCCATCCTTCCAAGCTCGTTCCAAGTGAGCTTCATTTCTCTCATGTCCCTTTCCACGCATTTCCTCCATGTTTCACGTGGCCTACCCCTGCCTCGTGCTCCCTGTGGGTTCCACTGCAGTGACTGTCTTGTGATGTTTCCGCTGGGCTTTCTTAAGGTGTGTCCCATCCATCGGCACTTTCTTAGTCCTATTTCTACTTCTATATCCTTTTGTCCTGTCCTTTCCCACAGTTCTTCATTTCTTATTCTATCCTGCCACTTAATTCTTAGAATACTCCTCATACATCTGTTGATGAAAGTCTGGACTTTATTCAGTACTGTTTTCGTTGTCTTCCAAGTTTTGCAGCCGTAGAGGAGCACACACTTGACGTTGGAGTTAAAGAGTACTTATTGTGTAATTTTTCGGAGGTCTTTTTTTTTTAGAGGTAGTATAGATTCAAAAGCGTTCATAACAATAATTTTGAATACTTTAATTTCGGATCACCAAAAAGCACAGTGACTGACGTAGCAGGAATAAAACTATCAAGCTTTATGGTATTAAAAAATCATAATTTTGTCTTTACCTTTCACGGGATCCTTTCTTTCAGTAATGTCGCGTAAGAGAAGCACGTAGGTACACTCGGATAAATAACTAATGACATACGCAGCTGTATATATATTTAAAAGAGGGCGATTCAGGCGTTATCAAAACAGTGATGATGTTGACAAATTTGGAGAACTTCGCAAACACTCAGCGTGCTCAGTCATGTCCACGGAGTTATGTAATGTGGGTCGTGGGTCGCCTGTGAATCTCGAGTTAGAGAAAACAGACTTTTGAGTTGAATCGTTATCTATTTCTCTCCCTGTCTCTCTGTCTCTGTCTTTCTGTCTCTCTGTCTCTCTCTCTCACTATCTCTGTGTGTGTGTGTGTGTGTGTGTGTGTGTGCATGTGTGTGTGTGTGTGCATGTGTGTATGTGTGTATGTGTGTGTGTATGTGTGTGTGTGTATGTGTGTATGTGTATGTGTGTGTGTGTATGTGTGTGTGTGTGTGTGTGTGTGTTTCTGTGTGTGTGTGTGTGTGTGTGTGTGTGTGTGTGTGTGTGTGTGTGTGTGTGCTGCACAAATCATGTATTTGCCGAGTCACATTATAAGGAGTGGATGCATGGGCAAAGGGCCTTTCAATTTATCAAATCAAAAAAATCTTGAAATCTTAAAATCTCTCTCACTCTCTTTCTCGCTCTGTCTTTCTCTCTGTCTCTCTGTCTCTGTGTCTGTCTGTCTGTCTGTCTGTCTGTCTGTCTCTCTCTCTCTCTCTCTCTCTCTCTCTCTCTCGCACTCTCTCTCTCTCTCTCTCCGCATATCCCTCTCCCTCTCCCTTTCCCTCTCTCTTTCTCTTTCTCTCTTTCGCTCTTTCACTCTCACTCTCCCTTTCCCTCCCCTCCCCCTCTCCCCCTCCCTCTCTCTCCACCTTAACCATAGTTCTGATTAACTTGTAGTTTGTAGTACCACATTGCATTACACAGTTACGCGCAATACTAGTACGCTGTACACTAGTGAAACTAGTTCGAAACACTTAACCGATAACGGAAAGTGTTATCTGCAGACAAGATATGTCTGCCATTGACTAAACAAGTTCGCAGCATAAATAAAGTGCTATGGTTGTTATATTTTGTAGGACAAAAAAACCCAACATTTTCACAATTTCTTGTGTTGTGGTTCCATTTTGAACTCTGAAATTCTCGGCAATGGAATAGAAACGAGTCATACTGAGTTGAATCCACTTCTTTTCAATGTTTTGCCATATTTATTTTTTTTAAACAGCAGATTGCGTTGTGCCAGGCAGAATGAAGAATGTATACCTTTATCTTGTTGGATAAGTGGAAAATCAACACTTAGACCGTTGTATTATGTCTCTTTGTTTCACTGTTGTTTGTCCGACTTAATCATAATCACCCTAAAAGAGAAAGCTACAAATGTAGAATACTGCAAAGTAATTTTTTTTACCTAGCAGCATGCCATAACAGAAGGATCAAATAATTAGTATGACGAACTGGCCGGACATAATATTTTAAAGACAAAGTCAATGCACCTTAACTGACGCAATTTTTTTCACAAAATCGACTACATCTTGATCTAGTTACGCTTGATACGTCCTTATAACAAAATGTTGTTTTGTTTTGTTTTATTGTTGTTCTTTGTTTGTTTGTTTTTTGTTTTGTTCTTTTAAGCTAGATTCTAGGGTTATCGTTTCTTGCTTACAACACACCTAAACTGTGTCACCAATGTTTTTCTTTCTTTTAGTTTTGATATGGGTTTTACGGTTCTTACAACAACACACATAGGTAATTTAAGTGCTGAGGTTGCAGGTGTCACGGTACTTGCAACAACACACATAGGTATTTTAAGTGCTGAGATTGCAGGTGTTACTAGAATGTAACTTACCAAAAAAAGGAGAGAGACAAGGACGAAAGCTGGTTGATAGGAAAGAAGGAACAAACCACCACATCAAAGCACCCACCAACCACCCACTGATGCAAGTCTAGAAGACAATGAAACTCATACAGCTTACAAAATAAGAAGACAGGGTGTGAGATATTTACCTGCTCTGACAAAGCGCGTCTTTTCCAAAACAGTCACAAGATAGTAAAGTTTGGTAAGAGTTTTACAGCGCTTGCAACAGCATACGGTTATATGAGCGCCCAGTCACAAGAACCACTAAGCAAGGAATGAAGAGCCATCTGTCTAGGCTGGAAGACTTTAAGGTTTTTCTTTCCTATTGTTGTGTGTTATCTACTGCGGTAATTCCAACTTTGCGTGGGTTGATTCATCTTGACACTGACCCCTTTACAGTTAACCCTATACGACAACCATCGAGACATGTGATGCAATAAGTGGTTCACCCATTCACTCTTTATCTTCACATGGCTAACCTCTTGCAAGTGCAAGTGAAATCCTCGAAACGTTAAAGTTACCAGCAGCAACAAATCATAGCTGGAAGGGGTTTGGGTTTTTTTTTTGGTTATGATTTATAGACCTTAGGTACATTTTTAAACCTTATCGGAAATGTTTTGTGGCTTTTGTTTTGTTGGTGGTTTTTGGTTGTTGTTGTTGTTGGTGGTGGTGGTGGTGGTGGTGGTGGTTTTGTTTTGTTTTGTTTTTTTATTTAAAAAGTGTCGCCCTTCGTCCTTGGACACTTGGAAAATACGAATATCGTAAATAATTGTTAACAAAGTAAACTTTTAGATTCATGCATCTTTCCGTTATCGTAATAATGCAGCCACAAGAATATAAAAAATAGCCTTTGAAAAAAACGTCTCCTACATCTGTGAAGTTTGGGATTTTGTTCGTTATGTTGACTGCTTGTGCCACTCCCATGTTGAACCCAACGCGAAGCTATTAAGTACATTTTTTCAACCATCAATCTCCTTCAAAGACCGACCTCGTTTAGCGTATTCTTCACACTACAGAATCTTCCTGCCTGCTTGGCTCTGGTTGTTTGTTTTTTGTGTTTTTTTATGTTTGTGTTCAACACCCTTATTAACACAATTTAGATCTTTTAGGAGGCCGGCTTCAACATTGGCAGTCAGGCCAAACCCGTGCTTAGAGCAATAATATATATTTATATATATATATATATATATATATATATATATATATATATATATATATATATATATATATACATAATTCCTGCAGAAACACCGAGACATTCGAAAAGAAAATCTCCATACTCAGGAATCGAACTCGGGCCTCCTGTGTGTGACAGCCAAGCATCTAACTGCAACACCACCAGACACAGACGCCTGTGTGCATGGCAGGGAATAATCAAAGAGCCTGTTCTTGTATTAAAGGAGGCAAACTAACTTTTGAGGCCACCCATTTTTCTTAATAATATGTGAGGCAGCGTGGTGGAATCAGGCTCTCGTCAATTTTTGGGCATGTAGAGTTATTGGTATCATCTTAAAGCTTGTTCACGTGTCTTTATTCGGATGAAAAAAATATCCATTTATCTTGAATACAAGTCGAGATATTTGCAAATGAAGGAGGTGGGGTCACCTGTCTTCAGAGGTAAAATTAGTGAGAAAATGGCCGCCAAAGATTAGTTATATCCTTATCTTAAGAGTCAGTGGTAACTGAAAATTCACATTTTTTGTGCTTTAAATCAATGTCTTTCAGAAAAATCCACATAGAAATGAGTTCTTTAATGGGTATGAAAGGAGTTGAGCCAAAAACAAATATTTGATAAAAATTCACAAACCTGCGGAAAAATGTAAGTTTCTTCTATTTGATTATTTTGACGAGAGCCTGATTCCACCACGCTGCCTCACATATTGAGAAGAAAAAAAATCGCACCAAGCAAGCACTCATATAAAACTTGGGTCATGCGGGTAAAGATTCAAACATAATATTTTGATAAAATCTTCAGTTGCCCTGGAAACGGTGGCCGTACTGGATTTTTGGGGATTTAATTATGGTGGGTGTTCTTTGTTGTTGTTGTTGTTGTTGTTGTTGTTGTTGTTTGACATGATAAGTCCATTTTGGTTTCGAAAATATAACTTCAATTTACTTCCCATAGATATTTTCCATGACATTGATGAATCATCCCATTTACAATTCTACGGTACATAAGAACGACATGTTAATATTCCCCCTTTGGGAATGGTCTAAAGACACTTCAGTCAGTAGCACTGCTCTGTTGGGGAGTAATTATTGTAATCAGGTCAACGTCTATTTAGGGTTAATGTAGATCAAGGTTGTAAACAATAGCAAGAGTTTTTTAACCCATTACTTGAGGATTAAAACGGGAAAGCAAAAGCAACAATAAGAGGTCGACCACTTTCCCGATTATCTTGAAAACAAAACGCATGCAGGATATGGGCGTAACTTACAAGTGTCTCTGAGTCGTCAGATCATGAAAAGGGGAAAAAACCAGCACCACGATATCTCTGTGGAGATTATACCGATACTGAGCACTTTACACCGAGTACTCCTCGGAGTCATACAGACAAAGGCATAATAATGTCGTTAATGGCGACGATACAGACATTTGACCATTGACCTGAATTACGATAGTCCAGATGTGCACAGTCATGTCAGCCATGAGCCTCTAGCTGCTCTTGACAATTTTTTAAAAAAAAATTAAAACGTGTTACAATGCGAACGCGCCATAGGCTATACAGTCGGATAAGCGCGCACCACCCCCCCCCCCCCACACACACACACACACACACACACACACACACACACACACACACACACACACACACACACACACACACACACACACACACTCACATCCTACTTTTCTTAAGTGGCTCGAAACTGACTCAAACAGTCTGTTTCATAGAGAAGGGGAATTACGTCAAAATGCTTGGCCAAGGACCCTGTATAAAAAATCTATGCCTTTGACGCTCAAACTCCAATTTTTGTATATAAAATTTCTGCTACTACTTCGTGCGCACAAGAAATGTTACTCAGGAAAGATTTCAGTACAACAGTCCACTTCTCCTCAGCTGTTCCAATAGTTGGCCGTTGCTTCTCGGGCCTTTCTGCATTCTGCCTACCGGAGCTCTTTTTATTCCAGGTCAGGTTTGTATGCTCTGTTCCCATCTTCTGTTAATAATTAAGTCTCCCCTTCTTCTCTTGCCTTCTATTTTTTTCCTTCCAGAACGACTATGAATTATCACTTTGATAATTGTGAAGCGTGCTGACAAGGTGAGTTACTTCTTAGATTCGAGTCCAATGGAAATAGGTATACCACGCTTAAAGGTGAAGTTT